GCTGAAAGCCAGAACGGCTCTGAGTTTTGGGGCACTGGAACTTGTAGGATGTCTGGAAGTATTTGGAAGGCTTTAGGAGAAAGATTCTGTCACCCAGTATTGGCTCTGGGCTCACCACTAAATGCAGATGATAACAATTTAAATAGCGATGTAGATTTACATGTGCCACTGGCCTGCCCCGGAACTATAGACCCTGTTGTGTTAGAGGTGATTTTTCAGAAGAACAGAGTGTCTCGGTGGCATGAGCTATATGGTTGAGAGCCACAGGAACAGGACCATTAATAAAAAGCCATCCAGAGGACACCTGGGGCCCTTATCTCCCAGAGTCCTTGTGTAGTCAGTGGAGAGAGAAATTTGGCCCAAGCAGAAGCCTAATGTGGCTGTTCTGCATGCCCCAGAGCCTGCTCTTGATTGACTATACAAGGAGTTCAGTGTGAGGAGTTTTCCTAAACTAAAATTAGCTTTTGTGAATTCCCTGTTAATTCTGTGAGTTCCCGGAAACCTGGACTTCTTTAGTAATGTCTGTGTGTCTCTTTCAGGGGTTGGAATGGGCATGACTGCTCCTGTCTCCAACACTGCTTTTCAAAACTGCCTGCTGCTGTCTCCATCACTGCTTTTCCTGCGGAAGATGGCTCCTTACAGCAGAAAGTGAAGGTCTCTCTGCGGATCCCGAGCCAGTTTCAAGCCAACCCTCCTCATCCTAGTGATGAAAGCATTAAGATTGAAGAGAGACAGGAGATGACCATTTATTCCACGTAAGGAACGCATCCTGTGATTTCCAATCCCAAGTGGTGAGGTCTCTAGTATGCTCTGAAGAGCAGTGTTGGTTTTACCAGGTGACTTGCTGGACAATGGGTGCATGTGGTAAAAGGAGATGGAGGGGTCTTTCTAGACTGAAGACAGGTGTTTTATGGCATTTCTTATCATTGGTCATGCTGCACCCATTTGGAATATGGATTTTTTTTTCACTGGGAAAACAAGTGCAGAGATTAGACCTGAAAGCCTTTTTGTTTCACTTGGGGAGGTGAAGAGCAGGGGAGGATGAATATGAAGGTATTGAGTCATTCCTAATTTCTGAAAACTATTGTTTTCCACACTTTCTGGGATAAAGATGGTTTTTAGTCATCAAGAATGTCCTTTGGTGTGGTTCACATCAAACTACAGGTGTCAGCTGAAGCCTCATTTAGATGGACTTGTGCCAGAGTCCATCATGGAAACAAGTAGCCATTGTATTGCTTCGATTAGCCTTTGAATGTCTTTGGCTGTTGACTGAGAAGCTGGGCTCAAACTAGCATCACAATAGCAATAAGTTCTTCACCTTGTATGTAACCCCTTGGATGTTTCCCCGCCTCCTTGCTTGAACTATTTTGGTGGACTCTAAACCATCTGACTTCTCCCTTGCCTGCAACTGCTGCCTGACCTTTGCTGTGGGTGTGGGCCACTTCTGCAAAACAGGCTGTTTTGTCTCAAACCTTGGACCCGAGGCAGCGTGGAGAGGTGCTGGCTGATGTTGAAACAGTTCCTGTTGGTGGGAGTTCAACGTAAAACAGACCAATTTCAGCCCACCCCTTTTAAATAGCATTGTGGGCTGTAATTGCTAATATCTCTGTTCCCACCCCCCCTTTTCCTTGGGCTCACTAGAGTTTGGCTTCCCTTCATGGTCTGGCTTCCAGCAGATGGTTGTTCACGCCACAGTGAACATGGTTGTTGACAGCACTGTTGTAAGGACTGCAGGCTGAGCAGACTTGGAGATTACCTTGTGCTCTAGGAAGCTGTTCCTCTGATATGGCGTTTATTCAAAGGGCAGGGCCGTTCTGCTGATTGATATATATGAGTCTGTTTGGGGTCTGCCAATGGCTGACTGCACCCTGGCTGTGTAACCCTTGAGACTTAATCGATCACAAAGTGTGCTGGTTCACAAAGAACAGCACCTGCATGAGTGCATGCTGGTAGGACCTGGATCAAAATGCGTGGCTAAATATATGGTGGCTATATATTGTTCTCCCTCTCTTCCTTTCTGTGCTCTGCCAGGGCTGCTCAGCACCTCTCTGTGCTTGGTTTCTTTGCAGGCAGTTTGGTGGCTATGCCAAAGAGGTGGATTACGTGAACTATGCTGCCAAGCTGGAGTCTGCTCTGGGGAGTGAAGCTGCATACCGCAAGGATTTCTACTTCTGCAATGGTTACGACCCCCCCATGAAGCCTTACGGCCGGCGCAATGAGGTCTGGTTTGTGAAAGAGTGAGCATCTAGCTCCCAGTGGTTCTGGCTTGCACTGATAGCCTCCC